CTGCTGAAGCACAGATGTTGCTGAACCAGTGAGTCCTGGACCAGAGAGGTTCAATCTGTGTTAGGAAATCTTGCTGTGTATTGTGAGCCCCTTTTGAGGGCAGTCAGAGTGTTTCCTGTGTTGCCTGTCACACAGCAGCAAGTACCCGTGGCCAGCGGAGGTGACCTGGCTATGCCGAGTGCCCACTGAACGGTGTGAAGCAGCATCCTGCTGTGCCAGCCGTGGGACTTGGATTGAACAGTCACGGGAGTTAGGCCCAATTCTCTGCCTTTTTTAGTTCCATACCGTATCCCATCCCCCTCCCTCCCTGCCCCCCAGGGGCAGAGCTGAGGCTGTGTGGGAAATGTCCCCTTAGCTCTGTTTCCTGGTTCTCCAGCGTCTGTGTTTGGCTTCCTGCTGTTCCCTAACGCCCTTATAAAGCTGACCGTGGCTCTGCATTTCCTGGGGTGTGACCCTTCAAACCTCAGCTCTCCTATTCTGGGAGAGCTGGAGGAGCACAGGGCAGTGCCCGGAACCAGCCCTCCACGGCAACAAAGCGCTTGCGGGTTAATACAGCGCCAGAGAGGTCAGTTCTCTGAGCCCTTCTGTGAGTAATGCTCTAACGGCTTCCCAGGGACTTGGTTTCCAGCCCCGCCCCTCTCGGGGGAAGCACCAGTGCATCGGAACAGCCGGGCAGATGATTTACCAGCGGAGACTCAGGGAAACGGCTCTTTCCTCTTCTGTTCCGCTAACGGGCGCTATTGGGGCCTCACTTGGATACCGCACAAGCAGTTTATCAGGTTTTTCAAGAGGTTTCAGCGCTGCAAGTCACGGGGTCTCCACATCGCCAAGGCTGAAGTGGAGGCTGCTTGTCACTTGACTATATTAGGCGACATGGAGCAGCGTGTGGACTGAGGCGCAAGCGAGGGGGAGGGGAACTTTTACTCTGAGCCGTGACCTTCCGTCAGGAATACGTGGCTGTGGATGCCTAGCCCCATGGTTAATGCAGTTGGAGAACTCAGCAAGTCAGACGAGGAAGTGGCCGAGGATGGCACGGTTGGAGGGCCCCGTGGCCCATTGGCAGCGATGCTGCTGTGACCCCAAACTTCCTCGTGCCCAACTGGAAGGACCGAGGATGGCAACTGTCCCACAAGGAGAAGGGGAGGAGGCCAAGTGACGTACATCAGAGAGTGATTTGAACGACTCGTACACCTTAGAGTTCTGAACGTTGCAGGCAACTCCGTGAAATCTCTGCTCTGGGTGCCCTAAGGTCAGACAAGCAAACCAGATGTTAGGGCACATAAAGAATGGGACGGTGAACAGAAAGAAAATCTACTAACGCCTTTGTGAGACTCTGGATTCCGTAGGCAGCACTGGCCATACCATCTCCAGAGAGGTACTACAGAACTAGAGGGACTCAGAGGAGTCTGAGAGGAATGATTAGGGGCCTAGGAAAACTCTCATTCAAAGAGAGAAAAGACTGGGAGAGGAGATAAAAGAACTGAAAATAATGACTGGCCTAGGGAAGGCAGATGGGGAACCTCTTCAGTTCTCCCTGTCTCATAACACAAGAATAAGAAACAAGCAATTGGAAGGTGGCAAAGTCAACACTGATAAAAGGAAACACTGGTCCACACAACCTGTAATTAGACTGTAACGTGCTGCCGCAGGATGTCAGTGCGGCCAAGAGCTTAGCACTATTCAGAGGGGACTGGATGTATAATTAGGCAGCCAGAATATCTCGTTGTGCTTGTTTTCAGTTTTATATACAAGACACGTGTATCCATTCAATTTAGAACACAGAACAAAAACCCTTCAACTAATTCATCGGACACTGCTGTTCATGTCAATTACTGGATCTTATTCCTATTAATAAAGGGGATTTGCTGTAGGTGGCTTGCGGCTTTCCACTCCTTGGGGTCCACCGGGGGGGCAGGAGGCAGGGGGGAGAGAAAGGAGTAAAAACCAAAAAAGGCCCCTACGGCAAACAGTTCAGAGTCTGAATGCAGACAGGGAGGGTGGGTGAAAACAGACAGTGCAGAGCCAGGAGGCCAGCCTGGCCCGGGGCTGTGGGCACCATGCCGGGGATAGGGGGCGCTCTCTCCTCCCCAGGTTCCTTCGTTGTCGGTCTCGGGATGTTTCTCTTCCAGGTGCGGGAGGCCGCTGCAGTCTCAGTTGGCGCCCCAGTTGCAGCTGTTCTAGGCAGACTTGTTGGCCTGGGATTTCTGGGGGATGGAGCTGCCCTGGCTGTGCTGTCCTGTGCCGCCCTGGTCTTCCTGCTGGCGCTGGCGGCACAGAATCATCTGAAAATATGCTTAAAAAAAGTTTTGGGTAGGAGATAAAACCGCCTGCTTCAGTCTTTAACGGCTCCCTCACTATTAGGAGTTAGGACAAAACCGTGACGGGGGGCAGATGATCCCATATTTGCTACTTGATGGTTTCTTGCACTTTCCACTGGAGCGTCCGGTGCTGACCATTGTTGAGGAGGGACATGGGGTTGGGAGACCCTCTGGTCTGATCTGTTTCTCCTTTCCAGGCCCTTTTCACACAGGTGCCACCAGTTGCCAAGGGGGAGATGGGAGACAGTGATTCTCCCATTGTTCCGTCAGGCCATCCACCTGTTGGGATTTGCAGTCAGTTTGCCCAGGCGTGTGTGCTTTTGTTGCCATTTCTCCATGTGTCACGGTTGTGTAACACAGAGAAATTCCTCCGCTCCTCCGGCCCATGGAGCGCACTCAGGCCAGGCCTACACTGCAGGGGAAGATACGCAACTCCAGCTATGTTAATTACGTAGCTGGAGTCGACCTACCTTAATTCGAGTTTCTCTGCCGTCCCCACAGTGGGAGGTTGATGGAAGCAAACGCTCCCATTGGCTTCCCTTACTCCTCGCATGAACAGGAGTACTGGTGCCAACAGGGGAGCCCTCTGAGTTCAGTCTAGCAGGTCTTTACTAGACCCACTAAATCGAACTCCAGAAACTCGATGGCAGAAGCGTCGATCGACCCCGTAGCAAGGACAAGCCCTTAGTGTGGGAGACACAACTTCCCCAGTGGCAGGTTCGAGCCTGAGGAGCGAATTCTGCATCCCAAGGCTCCCTACCATCCGCTCTAAGCGCCAGGCACACGTCTGTGATCGTGCCTTCACTAGCACAAGTACAAAGCCGCATGGGTATTTAAAACAACAATAAAAATCTGCACCCCAATCCAACCAGACACTGAGGCGCTGAGAGAACGAACAGCAGGTGAGAGAAGCGAGTGCTGCTGCTCAGGGCGCTGCTGGAAGGCACCATGCTGTGGCGGTGAGCGTGGTAAGGGGCCGTATAGGGAAGAGAATCAAATGCGATGGGGCCATGTTGCAGCCGTGGCCTTTGCAAGGCAGGCGCGTAGTTACAAGTGAGGGCCTGACTTTTCAGGGGTGCAGGAGCATGGGGCACTCTTAGACCATCAGGTCAGTATGGACCATTGTGACCGTCTAGTCTGGCCCCCTGCACATCGCAGGCCACAGACCCTCGCCCGGCCGCCCCTCACCTCTGGCTGAGCGACTCAAGTCCTCAGATCATGGTTTGAAGACGTCCGGTCACACACAATCCACCGTGACACTCGTTTAAACCGGCAACTGACCCGCTGTGCCCCAGGCTGCCAAAGAAGGAAAAAATCCCTCCAAAAATCCAGGGCCTCCATCCATCTGACCCAGAGGGAAATTCCTTCTTGACCCCAAATATGGCCTTCGGGCAGTGCAGGGGTGGGCAATCATTTTTTGCTGGGAGCTACTTCAGAAGTTTTTGAAGTGACCCCGGGCTGCACCAGAAGGGGCGGGGCCTCAGGCGGAAGGGGCGGGGCCAGGATAGTTCCCTGCTTCACCACCCACAGACCATGATTGGTCTGGGGGTGGGGGAGCATGTGAAATCTTTGCCCCCCCCCCGAGGTTCCCCGTAGGCGCCCATGCCCCTGGCAGTGGGAGGAGACTTCTTGTGCTCCCTCCTGCTGCCCCCAGGTCAATCAGGGCCTGAGGAGGGGGAGTACATGAAGTCTCTCACTCCCTGCCCCTGCCCTGCAAGGAAGTGCTGTGCTTAGAGTCAAGCTTGCAGAACTTGTTTTCACATAAATTGATGGACTCAGCCTCCAGGTTCTAGCACCTAGATTTAGGCAGGAGGGAAAGCAGAAGTCTGCAGGCAGAGGAAGTGTTTCGTACCACGTATACCAGGCAGACCTCCGGGAAAGGGTTCTGGGTAGTGCCTCAGAGCCTGCCCCATCTAGTGTCCCTCAGCACCAGTCAGAACCAGGCCCTCCCCGTTTGGTCCTTTCCCACAGAGGCAAGACGAGACCATGAGCCAATATTGTTCCCAGGCCCAGCCTAGTGTAGATGGGCCCACGGTGCTAAGTTAATGCCCAGTGGACCCAGGCAGTAGCGTAACCCTGGTTTTGCGTTTGTTCCTAGGCACGGGAGCTGGGATCGTCCTCTGCCAGCGACCTTCCGAACCACCCAGCGCCGGAGCCCAGGGAGCACACTGATCCTTGGGCCAGCCAATCACAAGAGCTCGCCAGAGAGGAGCCCGCCTGCCCGGCGAGCGAGACGGCGCCGCCTGCGCAGCCAATCCGCCCCAAGCCGCGAAGAAGGGGGCTGCGGAAATTAAGCCAAGAGAGTCCCCAGAGGCCTCCAGTTGGCTCCCCTGGCCTCACACAGCCCCCAGGGGGAGAGGTGGGAGCCGGGCACTCCCAGAATTTAACAGGCCAAGAGACCCAGCACAGGCCAACGCCAAGCGACGGGCGTGAGGAGCCAGCTACCGTTGGGCCCGAATCGAAGGAAGAAAGTCCAGGGCCCGGTGGCAAAGCCCCCTTTCAGCCAGGTGCCTGTCGGAGCGGGGAGGGGGAGGCTGCAAAGAGAGCTCAGCCATTAACTGCCCAAACAGAGCCCACTGGAAGCTGGCGAGGGGGCGGCTTGTCCCTCTCCGAGGTGGAGGAGAGCCCCGGGGAGCCCTCCCAGGAGACCTCCCAGCAAGCGGCCGCTGTGGAGGATGGGATGCCCTGGGTGCCCAATGAGGCAGCCCCAGTCTCCGCCCCAGGGAGTAAGGAAGAGCCGTGTCCCATTTCCGTGCCTGGGAGCCCTGAGGCTACGGAGGCACCGGGCTCAGACTCCCCCTCTCCGGGCACAGAAGGCCTTGCTGAGGGGAACCAGTTGGCAGCCCAGCCGCCCGGCGATGTGGAAAGTGAAATGGAGACAAGGCAAACAAAGGAATCTGCCCCAAGCTCGGCTGCCAGGCCCCCCCATGAGCCGTTCCCAGCCAGCGCCGCAGAGGAGGGCAGGGCCACGCCGACCCCTGAGAACGGGGAGGGAAGTGAGCAGAGAGTGGGGACAGCGGGGAGAAGCAGCATGGCCGCTACAGCCAAATCTGAGCTGAAAACGGAGGCGCCGCTAGCTCTGCGGGCAGAAGAGAGCGCTCCGGTCGGGGAGGAGTCCCTGGAGCACAAGGTCCAGCACCGAAACTTAGTGTCCTCCTTGAAGAACTATTTACTCCTGCTTTTGAACATGTCCTCGCCGGAGCCGGCTGCGAGTAAGGGCCCCTCAAAGGGAGCAGCCGCGACTGAGGAGACGGGGAGCCCGCCCGCTGGGGAGGAGAACACGCGGCCAGAAGTGGCCATCGCAGGCCTGAGCCCCAGCACATCAAGGAAAATCTTGGAACGGGTGCAAAATAACCAGCTCTTCCAGAGCGCAGAGAGCCTGTGTCTGAGCCCCCGTACGTCGAGAAGGCTCACGGGTATGATTAACCAAGAGTTAGTTTCCAGCAAAGAGGCTCTGGGGATCAGCCCGCTGGCCTGCAGGACACCGCCAGCCCAGGAGCCATCTGAATCCGAAGGCTCCCTGCTGCTGCCTGTCCCTTCTATCGTGGTGGGGAACGTGGCCCTGGAGAGAACAGGCCGGGCAGACGAAGGGCTTTCCGATCTGCCCCTCGAGAGCGGCACGAAGGAGAGCTCCAGCGAGGCGGGGGCAGCGTTACCTTGCGCCACGCCGGAGGAGCTGGCCTCCGGGGCGCGACGCAAAATATACCTGCCCAGAAGCAAGCAGGCGGAGGAGGCGGACGCTGCCGCCTCGGAGAGCCAAGTGCATCTGAAGAGGGACAGCCCCAGCGTGTCCCCCCCCCAGTGCAGGAAGAGCCTTGCTGTGTTACCAGCTCCTGCCCCAGCTCTGTCTCCTCCTACGGACCGACCCTCTCCCACCCTCCCCAGAAAGATGGCGACGCTCGAAGTTCCGAAGGCCTACGAGGAGCCCGCGGAGGACAGCAGTAGGGCCCCCAAAGGCCCTGAGGACCCCAAGCAGGAAGTGCAGGCAGGGGAGTCAAGGAAAACCAACAACCCATTTAAAGGTAAGAAAAGCAGGAGAGGCCTGGGGCACCCCCAGGCAGGACAGACACAGACCCTCTCTCACAGTGACCCCCCCCTGCATGCTGCCCACTAACCCTCAGAGTTTGAGAGCTGGGGGGGAGCGGTTACGTCAGCACGCAGCAGTGACTGCTGGGGCAGGAGCAGCAGGCGTAGGGAGCCACCAGGCCTCTGGGCAACTCGCAGAATGTGAAATCTCCACATGCTTCCCCTTTCTTTGACCCACAGCCCAAGGGGCATCTCCTGCCCCAGCAGAAGGCAGGCGAATGGAGAAATAGCGCAAGGGAAAAGAACCCTGCTGTTTTGGAGTCCGGGGTCCCCTCCCCTCAGCCCGGGCAGAGGAGGCTCCATCTCCTTTTCTGTAGTTTGGAAAGCGGAGCGGAACCCTGAGCAGGTCGCACCCCAGCGCCCTTACAGCTACCGAGTCAACCACCGGGTAGCACCTGTACCCTGAGCACAGCAGCCCTGAGAGCAGGAGGCGCCCACGCCCAGCAGGCCCAGGCAGACTGGCTTTGCTGCGGCTTTCTGGGGCTAGGAGGAGCAGAGTCCGATCAGGGTAGGGCTGGGACCCAAAGGAGACCCCACAGTAACCCACGTGGCTGCTCACTGCGAGGCTCCCGGCGTTCGAGCGACCATGCCGGGATCACTCGGGTTCCCAGAGCCGGGACCTGCCCAGTCTCGGGGGGCGAGAAATCTAAGTGCTGTGCTGGTGGCACAGAGGCAGCATGGCCTGGGCTCCCTCCCTGGAAGAGACAAACCTGGTTCTGTGGGGGGCAGCGTTTGAACTAGCCTTGGTCGTGCTGCAGCGCCGGCCGATCTGTGTCATGCCCCGTGTGTAACAAGCGTGGATTTCACATCTCTGTCCTCTCCCCCCAGTCTCGGGGGGCGAGAAATCTAAGTGCTGTGCTGGTGGCACAGAGGCAGCATGGCCTGGGCTCCCTCCCTGGAAGAGACAAACCTGGTTCTGTGGGGGGCAGCGTTTGAACTAGCCTTGGTCGTGCTGCAGCGCCGGCCGATCTGTGTCATGCCCCGTGTGTAACAAGCGTGGATTTCACATCTCTGTCCTCTCCCCCAGAAGGAGCGGGGTTGTAGCGGGTGTGCGCAGGACAAATCCCCACTCTGGTGCATGTGACGCTGACAGGCGGAACCGAACCTGAGACCTCTGGAGTTTAGTGCATGGCCAGGCCTGCACTGCAGGGGAAGGTTGAACCAAGATAAGCAACTCCAGCTGTTACTTTTGTAGCTGCAGTCCATGTACCTTGATTCACGTTTCCCCACTGTGGGGATGCCAGGGAGCCTTGCAGGAGCAGGAATTCCAGCAGCTGACAGGGACACCCTCTGAGTTTGATTTAGTAGGTCTTTACTAGACCCTCTGAATCAAACTCTGGAAGTTCGATCGATCGCAGCAGCATCAATCTTCCCTGGAGTAAAGACATGGCCCAAGAGCCTCTACAGCTTGAGCTAAAAGCTTGGCGCTCAGCTAAGGCTATAGAGCAGGCTCACTCTCTCTCTAAGTGGTCTCATTGGGGCAGTGGACCACACCCAGCGGGTGTCTGGGTCACATGTGCAGTCTGCCTCCCTGAGCACTTCAGGGTGGACCTGGTATTGTTCTTCCTTTCCCATTGCGGTGAGCAGCCGGGGTGCTGCTGTAGTTTGGGTCTCTGTTTGGGTCACACTTGGCTGGCCGGCCTGCGAAAGCTGCACTAGGACTCTCTGCTAATCCCAGGGATGGTTGGCCAAGCACTGGGGAGCGGCGCGGCGAGAACTCCCTGCCCCGGCCTGGCAGTGGACTGCCGGGATTGCTGTTCGTCTCACACCGCTCCTTCCTTTGTCCTTAGCCCCCCAGCTGATTCGTAAGATCCGAGCAGAACAATTTTCTGATGCCTCAGGAAACCTGAAACTTTGGTGCCAGTTCTTCAATATTTTGAGTGACTCAAAGCTGACGTGGTACAAGGACGAGCTCCCTGTAGCAGAGGCCCGAAGGAGGTAACCTGCCAGCTTTGCTGCATTGTGCTCATCCGGTGGCGGCTGCATTAACTCTGGCTTGCATTGATCGGGCTCTGGGGTGTCTGCAGTCGGGAGGTGTGATTGCAGCCCTGACTAGCTGTGATTTAGCAACATCAAGCCTAGGTCCGGTAACCGTAGTGTCTGGAGTTCAACCCCGCACACGAGGGCACTCTGGGCTTTACGGCTATTGTTACTCCAACTGGCTTTGATCTAGGCAGATTTTAGCTCATTTGGGTCTGCCTACCTGTGTGGCAATCACCCCCCCCACACACACACACACCTTTGCCTTGGACCAATTCAGGTTATTTGGGGGTGAAGGTGCCCCCTGCTAACAGGCATCCCTTGGTATCAAGCTGAGGGACTCCAGGGTATTAGCACACGGCCCCCGGCTTTGGAGAGCCACAGTGAGACCAAAGGAACCAGAGTCGGTTCCTTGCTGACCACGAAGGTGAGAGCCCAGGGCAGAGAGCGAGACGACCAGGCCCTCACCAAGGCCCCTCCCTGAGAGAACATCTGCCGGCCTCTAACAACGGTGCGTCCTGGGACTGAGTGTTCGGAAGCAGGGCCGCACTGGCTGTGTCTACACTGGCATGAATTTCCGGAACTGCTTAAAACGGAATACTATTCCGTTTTCAGTTTTTCCGGAAAAGGAGTGTCTACATTGGCAGGCTGCTTTTCCGGAAAAGCCCTTTTCCCGGAAAAGCGTCTGTGGCCAATGTAGACGCGCTTTTCCGGAAAAGACTACTGGGCTGTCTACACTGGCCCTTTTCCGGAACAGTGTTCCGGAATAAGGACTTATGCCCGAGCGGGAGCAGAATAGTTTTTCCGGAATAGTGGCTGATTTTGTACAGTACAGCATCGTTGCTTTTCCGGAAATTCAAGGGCCAGTGTAGACAGCTCGCAGCTTATTCCAGAAAAGCGGCTGATTTTCCGGAATAAGTGGCCCAGTGTAGACACAGCCACTGTGTCCAGAACCCCCATTCCCAACCCCTAATTCTGGAGCCACAGGGAGAGTGGGCAACACTGATAACGACTGGGGACAGAGTCTGCCCCGCACCCTAGCAAGTGGGCTCTGGGTTCAGCCACACACATGCTCATCTTGAGGGTACAAGTGTTGTTTTGGCTGCATGAAGAGGGCCCCCGGCTTGATACAGCCTCAGACCGGACACTTCTCTCTACGGAGCTGTGGCCCCTGTTCTTGGTTACACCCTTCCCGCACACAAGTGAAATGCCTGCAAACTGCATGGGGACTTTTTACAACCTCCTAAGAGGCTCAAATTAAATTTATGCCCCAGACTAAAAAACCTAGTAAGAGGACCAGGAACCTTGGCTAACCAATGAATTAACAGAAGCAGCTGGAATTAAAAAGACACCCTCTGAAAACTGGAAGATAAGTCCTACTGCAGAAAATAGATAGGAGCATCAACTCTGGCAAGTCAAGTGTAAAACTATAATTAGCCCCAAAAAAATTTTTGAAGAGAAACTAGCAAAAAACTAACAACCGACAGCAAACCAGTTTGTAAGTGGGATACTGGCTGAACCATCAGCGGGGCCCCGGCCCATCAAGGCACTAAAGGGGCACTCATGGACCACAAGGCCCATGCAGAGAAGCTAAATCAATTCTCTGCATCTGTCTTCACTGCAGAGGATGCGAGGGAGGGTCCCCACCTGCATCATGCTTTGTAGGTGATGCATCTTAGCAGCTGTCCTCCAGTCCTTCCAGCCTGCCTTGCTGGAGTTCCAGGGGGCTGCTGGGGAGAGGGTGGGGTCCCTCTTCCTTTTAATTCTCCCCAAGCACAGTGGACAGGAAACCGTAATAGTCCAGTAGTTCCGGAGTGTCACGAAGGGGTAAGGTTGTTTTCTGAGGCCCCCCCCGCCCCCCCCCGAGATCTCCCTGGGTCACAGGGGCAAATCCCTTCCTTGGGGTGCTGTCCCCGGTAGCGTTGGCCTGGCTTTTGTTCCCCCCCCACACACACACACACAGGCTCTGAGGGGTGGGTGTGTACAGCTCCTGCGGGCTGTGCTCCGCAGCTGGGGCTCCTAGGCCCTACCACAGACCAGACACTACAGCCTGGTCCCCGGCTGGCTCCGTCCTCTCTCAGCTCCGGCGACGAGGGGCAGGCAGCCCTGGCCATTGTGCAGGCGTCCCGGAAGGACTGCGGCGTGTACCAGTGCACCATCGAGAACGAGTACGGCTCCGACTCCACCGACTTCCTGCTCAGCGCAGAAGGTGAGGCGGGCGGGGGCAGGCGGAATGAGCTGAATCCTGGGCGACGGGCAGGAGAGGTGGGTGACAGGCAGTTGGGGGGCAGGAGCGGGGGTGGCCACTGAGTACTGTGTGATGGGGGCAGGAGAGTGGGAGGGGTCAGGGTGCAGGAGAGGGACTGGGACGGATGATGAGGAGAAGGGGGCGGTTGGGTGGCGGGGGCTGGGTACTAGGGTTGCCAGATGGTTTCAACAATAATACCGGACACACTTGCCATTCCGCCCCAATCTACGCTCCATCCGAGTTAGAAAACGCCCCACAATTCCGTTGTCTCCATGTGTGTCCCGAACAGGAAGCGCAAACACTGGACTGTCCGGTTCAAACCCTGGCAACTCTACTGGGTACCGGGTG